GGTACATGGTAAATTTATGGCTGCTTGGAAGCGCTGGTAGTGGTTTGATGATCTAGCATTTCATGCACTCTATCGCCTTTTTTTAAACAAAAGTCTGTACATGGTATTGAAAATCAACTGAATTCTTGACATAAACGCATGACTGCGTAGCCATAATTTTAGGAATGTTGATTTCAGCGCGAGTACCATTATGCTATCTTTCAGCACGTGGAGATTTCGAGGATGGTTACGTACGTGGTTTTCGTGATGCGAACAAACTGGGTAGTGCGTCAGCAGCGCGACGACGAATGGACGACGATTATGGCAGCCGAGACGACCGATTTCATGAGGGATATGTTAAGGGTTTGAGGTACCAACTATGCTGAATAAGCAACGATACGCACCATAACGAGCATGAATTTCTAACTTGGTCCTCCAGACATATAGCTAGCGATTTTTTGTGTGCTTTGGCCAATGCTCTGTTGGCCGATGCTCAGCGTACTTCAGGCCCCAACGTGTCTCTTATCCTTCTCAGGACTTCTCCAGTCAGAAGCGCTTGGCATGACTTTAGTTCTTTAAAGATATCATTTTGTGTTCGTGATGAATATTACTGAATCGTCTTGAACTTTTTCACCCCTCCACTGTATTGTGCGATCTTCCACTAATGCTCTCCTATGCATCTCGAACAACATTTGATGCATTGTTTCTCTGACGTGCTTAGAAGTTAGAGAAGGCGTAAAATCCCCTATGCTCCATTGCAATCCAAATTGTAACTACGGCTGAATCACGATGATTTCTTTCCTTTCCCTTTCCATTCAGGTATTTTTTTAATTTTGAGAATTTGATATTGAAAATTGCAGAGATGCGGGCATGACAGGTATGAGTACATCGATGCATAATTTGGCGCAGCGTGGCGCTGGTGCGGGCTATTCGTCTGGTTATATGCAAGGTTTTCGTGATGGTAATTCGGGCATATTCGGTGACCGAATAAGTACCAGTCTGCTGCGAAGATTGGAGGAGCAGTATCCAAATCAGGAAGAATTTAGGACTGGATATATTGATGGATTTAAGGAGGGGGTGGGAAGCAGATCTACGGAAAAGAGAGTGAGCGCTAACTTCTCGTATTTGCACATAATTTTTAAGGGTACAGAAATTTTACATAATTCTTCATTCTTAAAACTCAGGCGGCTTTTGAAGAGGTAGCTCACATACATTGAACGGCCATTGGAAACTTACTGGAGGTAAGCAGTTCAGTTTTGAAGAGCCTGGCATGGCTACGGCATGGGAGAGCATTTTCGTAAAATCACTAGCAGTGGGTGGATAACTAGTAAAGCTCGGCTCCACCTCGGCCAGCCTCGGTCGCTGTACGAGTTGCCGATTTATTAGCAAACGTTTAGTAGGTGAGCAAGAGGGGAGACAGAGGAGAATGAGAGGCACGAAGAAGGGAGGAGGGGAGAACGGGAGGAAGGGTAGAACGGGGGGACAAGGGGGACGGGGGAGGGAGGGGCAGTGGGAACGGATGGGAAGGATGGGGGTGGGAGAGTA